GCTCTCATTTACAATAGGCGCCATGTGCAGGCGCCAAATGCAGGCCAAGGACGTAAGTCAGGGGTTTCCGGCCCCTTCCACACTTACAAAAATGGTTGTAAGTGCGGGGGGTTGGAGCTCAGGCAGTTGCATGTTGGGGGCCTCCTATATTTAGTGGGCAGCTCAACAACACACAAATTGTGGCTCCTGGTTTGATGTTCATTGACTTCTTAGCAGTTAAGTTATGGGGGAGGGGAGGAAATGGTACAATGGCTTAAACCAGAGTTCTCCAACCTTTTTATGTCCAAGATCACTTTTTAAAAATCAGGGCAACCCAGGATCTACCCCATGTCCTCCCTGAGGCCCCACCCACTCCATTCACCCCTCTCTCCATCACTTGCTTTCCCTCATCCTCACTTTCATTGGTCTGGGACAGGGGATGTGGGCCCTGGGCCAGGATTTGGGAGCAAGTTGTGAGAGGGAATTTGGGTGCAGGAGTAGATGCAGGGTGCTGTCTCTGGGAGGGGGCTCCAGGCTGGGCAGAGTGTTGAGGTGAGGTGGGAGTATGGGATGCTGAGCAAGCTCCAAGGCCAATGAGAAAACCGCTGAATGCTTCCCACAAGGGCTTTGCTTCTCTCCCCCCGTGTGCAGGAACGGCTGCCTCCCAGGCTGGTGGCCCAAAGGAAAAACCTGCGTGGTTGGGTGCGTCACGGGGCTTGGTGGAGTTTGCTTGACTACAAGCTCTGTAATGGGACGGTCTAGGCTGTTGCCTAGCAAAAACTGAGGAGTATGTTGGTGAGAGGCAACAGAAGACAGAGCCGCCACAGCATAGGGAAGGGGCAGCTGTAACCCACAGGTAATGGGGCAGAAGGTGGCACTTCTAGTGCCCAAGGAGGTCAGCTTGGACATGGCTGTCTGGCCCCTCATTTGCTCTGCATGGTCACTGCAACGGCCCTTCTCCCTGCTGGAGAAACATGAACAGCTCTGACATTGCTTTGTGATCACTAGAGGCCCAGTGCTGTTCTCTCCTGGCCTCCCGGTTTGTCATGCTGGAGAATGTTCACAGGGGAGTTCAAAATGTCAATGCATTTTCCATCGATTGGTCGATAGGGCACCTCCACCTTTGAAGTGTAACAACCACCCTAGGGCTGTTGCTATACTTCAAAGGGAAAAGTGCAGCGTGGAGCCCGGGGTCAGCTGGGCACTCCCTCGCTGACCCCAGGCTCCATGTGACACTAACACTTTGAAACGCTGCGGGGACCCCAGAGTAAGGCACCTCGCAATGTTTCAAAGTGGCAGCACTGCACAGAGCCTGGGGTCAGTGGGGGAGGTCATAGCTGATCCCAGGCTCCACCCTACGCTGCTGCTTTGAAACACTGCGTGCAGCCTGGGGACACCCCAGATGGCCCCGGGCTCCATGCGGTGATGCTGATTTGAAGTACCCTGTACTATTCCTCCCCTTGCTGCCTCTTTCTGATAGAGGCAGCAAGGGGGTGGGCAAGAGCGACTAGCTGATGGCTATCCGATAAACATTTGATTATCAGATAGTTGTCTAATTGTTCACATCCCCTAGTTCAGAGTATGGATGCTGCTTACTGGGTAATGGTTAACCAGCTCCCCAGGGAGCAGGAAATGGGAAGCCAGGCTTCTAAGGAAGAGGAAGGAGATGATGAAGAGCAGGTGAGGCAAGCACTGGACCTGGAAGGAAAGCAGGGATCATCTAGAACAGGACAGATATGGGGTTGGGACTGGAAGGAGGTCAATGTTCAGTTTGACATTAGAGCTTATTTTACTGACATATGCCAATAAAATGCTGATTGTGACAGTCCCACAGTCAGTTCACCATTGCATAGGCACATGCACATAGCTGTCCAGGTAATAGCCATTCCTGTCCCACACACCACATCACAGGAGATAACTGGATTTTCTTCAGGAAGGCACAGGCACTTTTCTTCCCCCTCTGAAGTTGGTGCAGCCTTGTCTCTGGTATTTCTTCCCACTCCCACCTGCTGCTGCAGCTTGGAAGCCTGCAAGGTTGTGTGGGATTCCCCCTATGTAGTCTCTTCTGGTTGGCTTTGGAAAGGAAGCACCGGAACCCATTGGGCATTGTTGTAACTTGTTTTGTGCTGCAGACAGCTCCTGCCCAGGTCAGTTTTCTTTCATGATCAGAGGAGCAATTCAAACCACTGAGCCCAGCCGACACCCCCCTCAACACCTCCCTGTCCCTTTAAGTATTTTTCAACACCCCACTCCCCCTTCCTTTGACCCTATTTCTTTGGCAGGCCCCCACTTGCTCTGGCCCAGGTCCTCACAAACCCCTAATTTGCTTTTACCCAAGAGCCCAAGAGAGAAGAGGAAGGGAGAAGTGGAGGAGAGGAACTGGATAGTGTAGCCCAATTTGATGGTGCTTAGGACCCAGATGTCAGTTGTAACTGTAATTGAATCTCAAATGTCATAAAAGCAAGCCATCCTGTCCTTGAATAGTCAGGGTAAAGAGGAGGATGACTGGGACCACTGTTATGGACCAAGAAATCAAAATAGACACTTGAAGGACAACGGGGGAGGGCATGTGGACTTTCTGAATCCTGGACCCACCTTCTTTCGGTGGGGCCTCTGCCCCCTTTTGAGGAAGCCCTACTGCCTTGGGAAAGCAACAGGCTGCCAAAAGAGGCATTGTGGATCTCAGTTCATCTGTTGTTGACCATCATAGTGGCCCTTGGCCATGACAGTGCACACACCCTTATGGAACATAAGATAGCCCTGGGATCTCTGAAGGAGTAGACCTGTCAAAGAAAAGCATCCAGCCATTGAAGGGCAGATCCTCTACAGCAGGGCTACTCAACATGTGGCCTGTGGGCCGCATGCAGCCTGTATGTTTGCAGCCCATGGTGCAGTTTGGGTTTACCCAGGGCTCAACAAGTGGCCCACAGGTGGGATCCTTTGAATGTGGTCTCCACTGGAAACATGCTCCACAACAGCGAAGCATCTCCCAGGAGGGGCCAGCATCAAAAGACACAAGCGGACAGGCTGGCTGGAACAGATGGGTAGAGTGTCAGCATTTCTAGCCCCCAGGGAGGAGGTGCTAGGAGCACCGGGGCATTGTGGGAAGTGCTTTGTATTTATGCCCATCAGTGTGAAAGAAGCTATTTGTATGTACATGCAACCACACTTAAGCTGTGGCCCTTGGCACGTGCTGTGAGTGTCATTGTGGTTTCTGGGCTTCCACAGTTGAACAGCCCTGCTCTACAGCGTGCTGCACACTGGAAGCAATGCCTGAATTCTGCAGCCAGGACTTCCTTTTAATAGTGACCATGGAAGTCTTAGCTCTTGCTGAAGTGTCCATGACATCCAGTGTGGACTTGCTGTGACATCTTTTCCACCAAGCAGCCTGCGGAAGCATCAGGCAGTCTGTCTGCAAATTTAGGCAGACTAGCTCAATTTATAAAGTTGTATTTGGACATCATCTGCTGGTTCACAATCTCTACTTGCAGGGAGGAAATGGGGTTCTCTTTTTCTACTCCTAAAGTCCTTTGGAGTGGACTTTAATCTACACTGCTGGGCTCTATCATTCATGGCAGTTACTTCCAGAGAATATAGGACCTGTGGGGAATAAAAGCCCTCTATTGTCTGCACCAGGACTAAACTTTTCTCCATGGTACTGAAGCTAGCATGCGCCAAATAACCTACTTTGCAGGCTCTACGGAAACATAATTAATAAGAAGGGCCACTTTCCCAGGAGCAGACTGCTATAGGATATCCAACGATTTATCAGAGTTCTGCTGCAGGAACTCTGCTTGAATGTCCAGTGCAGCCATGGAGATGATTAGGCAGGGTAAGGATAGGATAAGGCTAAGACATTGGTGGCCAGTAGGCGCTAGGTCAGGGCTGCCTATTCTGAGTGAGTTGAGTGCCAGTCCTGATACCCATTGTGCTCCATAAACAGCTCCAGTTGAGAGTCAGATAGTGGAGAGTAGGAGGAGGAAGATCCCTGGATTTACCCAAAGGAGTTTTGAGTTTATGGGGATAATGGTAGAACCAGTTTTGGAGGGGGTAAGTAATGTTGGACTCATCCATCATCCAAAAGGAGGGTGGGACTGGCTCTGACCCTGGAAATGGCACCATCAGCACTAAGTACACCTCCATTGTTCCCACTGGTGGAAATGGCATTAACCCTAAAGTGTATGTATGTGTCAGTGGTGCCCAATGCAATGGTGCTGAGGCAGTCCTGTGCACGAAGCCCAGTACCAGCTCAGCCTCCACTAATGCAGATGAACTCTGGGGTGTGGTGCTGACAGATCCAAAGGTCCAGTGGACAGTCCAGCCAATGAGGCTATAAATAACAGTGTTGGCAAAGTCCTGGACCAAGGGAGAGGCTGGGCTGGAAAGGCAAAGGAGGTCCATTGCTGCTAGCCATTGCTGGCATGACTCCCATCAGTACTAGACTCACTCAGCTGTACCTAGTCAGGAGTCTAGGAAATAATCTCACAATTTTCACTATCATCTAGTGCAAGAACCACATAGAGTTCCAACTCCAACCTGGGTGGCAAGATGGAAATGGGCAGGGGGGGGTCAGGACAGTGCTGCCTCACATAGCCAGGGGAAGGGATATGGCCATGAGGCACAAGTACCTTCTCCCTTTTGACACCACTATGAAAATTTCTCTAGCTTTGATGTGCTGGGTGCGCACACACAAATAAATACATAGCGGCATCTCCTCAAAACTGTAGTTTGCCCCTACAATATCCATATAATGAATTAGCAGCATGCTGTAGCTTACTGGCTTGCTAAACACCACCTCATCATGTAGACAAGCAGTGAGCATGCAAGCAGAGCACAGTCCTTGCAGAAATGCTGTATTGTTAATTTGGTGGTATAGTTTTCTTTCAGGAAGCTGAGACAAAGCAAGAAGTTTACTCTGTTTAATCTCCAACTAGAGTAAATTCTTTGGGAAGAGTTGCTTCTTAGGAACTGGGAACTGGGTAAAGTTTGGATAGAGATTTCTGAAAAAGAAATCTACTTACGTGCTCTTTGTGACCATCTCTGGCCATAAAACAGTGCATGAAGTACAAACAATTCCAAACAATCCCAACCAGACTCCATAGCACTGATTCCTCCCACAATGGGAGTGGACTTGAAGGGCCCCAAAATCTGCTGCTGCTCCAGAGTGGCAACAATCTAAAATAAAAAACGTAATGAGTGATAAATGCATTTCAAAATGGAAATGTGGTTAGAACTTTATCAAGAGTCCTTCCTTCATGAAGTATCTCTTGCAGAATTCAAAGGTTATGTTAAGAACTGCTAGACATCTCCTGATTCAATACCGATTTACCTCAAGTTAAAAATAAAAATGTTTGACTATAGTGACATTTCAGTAAATGCAAACTTCAGACACTTGCCTTACAACACTGCATATTTCAATGGAAAGTTTCCTCAAGGAAAAAAGTATGTTACACAGAAAGATGAAGCATTTTGCATGTCCAGATCAAAAAAGAAGGCCAGGCACAAGAAACCCTGCGGAAGTGTACGAAAAGTCAATCTTTGGTTCCAAAAAGCTTTTCATATTTAAAAAACCAGAAACATTTCCCATGTAGTTAATCTTACCATGACATCCATTCCAAAAAGAAGCCTCTTGGCATGTTCTGCTTGTCACATCCTCTGCCTGTAATCTCAGGCCCATGGCGGTCATCAGAGATCCCAAACTGCATAGAGTATCCGTGTCCAGACACACAGCCTACCCATAAGGCTTAAGGTGGTATTTTTGTTTAAGTTACCCTTAAACCATGTAACTTAACTTGCCAGCCTCACCTCTTCCCCCACTACTACTCTGGTTTGTGTCTTCTTCCAACCATATCCTGTGTTTGGAATGTTCTCCGTGTCACAGAACACCAAGAATCCATGGTCACTTCATTCCTATACCCCCACCCCCCAAAAATCACCTGTTCTGTGGAGCCTTAAAACTAATATCAGTGCCACCATCCTTAGCTCAGTTTATAAAAGTAGCTCCAAGATGCCTTGCTCAGACTATTAAGATGTTTACCTGATTTTTGCCTTTTGGGATGTTTTTTCCTGGGGCCAGGGGAGCCATGTCTGTGTTTTGTACAGATCAAATACAGGCAGTCCCCGGGTTACGTACAAGATAGGGACTGTAGGTTTGTTCTTAAGTTGAATTTGTATGTAAGTCGGAGCTGGTACATATTGTAGGGGAAACTCTAGCCAAACATTTCTCCAGAGCTCAGTTTTATTCTCCCACACCTCACTTCCCACAGTCCTTTATTCTCAAGCTGAGGTGTCTGCTGAGAAAAGCCGCTCCACCTCTCCCTGGTCTGCTGGGGTGGGGGGGCGCTAGCTTCGCATCTCCCTGGTCTGCTGGGGGGAAGCAGCTAGTGCGGGGTTGCCTCACCCTGTTTGTAGTAGGGAGCCGATGTAAGTCGGATCCATGTAACCCGGGGACTGCCTGTAATCCTTATAGATATTTTGCCTATATAGTTATGAGAAAATATTAAAATTACAGCTAGGTTCATGCCTTGTGTTAAAACTAATATCCAAACAAAACCATTACTTATGTGGAGTTTCTTTTGTGAACGCAAAAGGAAGGAGGGAAGAATTAAATTCATTCAGTTTCATTTGTTTAGTTGAACCTCAACTGTGTGTGTGTGTGTGTGTGTGTGTGTGTGTGTGTTAAATACTGTAGCATATAGGCACAGGGACATGCATTATAGACTGACAGGTAGACTCTCAGTATTGCTTTTAATTCATAATTTTTTTTCTAATGGCATTATAAGACAGCAACAAACTCATTTTCACTAGAAGATCTGCTGCTGCTGTGGCACAAACATCTTCCATATGATAGCTTATAATTCTGGATAGGTACCACCAGAGGGGAGGAGGGGCAGAGAGGCTGCTTTTGTCTGTTCGGCAGCCTGTTGCTCAGGGGAGGGGGCAGCCTGTTGCTGGCAGCGGGCGTGGGGAGGCACTTTTCCTCTGCCCGGCAGCTCTGCGGGACCCCAGTCAGAGCCGGCCCGAGGAGGAGGAGGATCCTAGGACCCAGGTGAGCGAGCCCCGGGAATGCTGCTGCGCATGTGCGGGAGTTGCCTCACCCCGTTCGTTCGTATCTAGGGATCCGACGTAAGTCGGATCCACGTAAGTCGGGGACTGCCTGTACACAGTTGTTGCTTAGCTAGGACTTAAGAAGGAAGTGCCAAAAGCGTCCTGAAACCAACTAAACACTTTCTTATACCAGTCTATTAACCTAGGAGATGCTAATTGATGAACACTAGTAAAACATTCTAAAATAAAATAGAGATTACATAGTAGTCTTACAAGTAGAAAGGAGAGAGTTTTATCTGTGGGGCAGAAGGAATTAAGAAGAGCAAGTGTGAATCAATGAGTGGAGTAATGGGGTGGTTGGTATCTTTATAATCCCACAAACAAAAAAAGCACACCACAGCCCTGCAGAATGCAGGCAGATAGTGTTCTTTCTTTCCTATCTACATGCTGCAATAATCCTAACACTCTTCGGATCCCATTTTTGAGCTTGTCAAGTAGACACTTCTGGTCACAAACTATGTACGAGTTTGGAAAAGACCTGTAAGAACCAGACTGGAACCAGTACTTAGGGTGATCAGATGTCCTGATGTTATTGGGACAGTCCTAATATTAGGGGCTTTGTTTTTTATAGGATCCTATTTTATCCCTGCTCCTCTGGTCCTGATTTCACAAACTTGCTATATGGTCATCCTACCAGTACTGAAGACAAAAGCTTAAAGTTGGTTGCCAAAGGTACTAATAGACTAACCCACTAGAGTCACTACATATTCCCCGATTAGATAATTATGCTTGAACCGATAAATAAGATAAATTGAGATTTCACAAAATATTTTAATTAGTTTTATTTTGTAGAATACACACATTTCTATTTACAGATATACAAGTCATAAGAACAATATAAAAACAAAATTTATGTACAAATATTCAAAATACAAATTCTCATTCTGTAGTAAGTTTACAATTTGCCACCGTATTTTATTAACCTACATTTTTCTACACATTTACTCTTCAAGATTCAGTTTCTGAAAGGTTACATAGGGCCTATCCTTTCCTCTTATTGAGTCTACTTTATCAGTGAAATTCTCCAATAAGGAGTAATGAAAGTTATTCAGCATGAGAAAGCACTTTGCATGTTATAGAAATAAGGTTATATTGTAAACACATGTAATCAGAAGCCAGGAAAAAGTTATATTAACAGCCTTGACTCCTGAAACATTTGTAATATAAGTTATTAAGACAAGCTGCTCAATTTAATAAATTGCTATCTTCTAGCTATTCTTTTATAATATGCAGAAACTCAGATATTGGATAGTTCTGCTTGGTATTAATTTACTTTTACTCTAAATTGATTTAAAAGTTTAGTCAAAAATATTTTACTTACATATATTTACACACACCCACACCCACCCACAAGTAATTGCTTGGAGACCCTCTAACATGATGAAGTGCCCCTTAGGGAGACTAAAGTGGGTGCACCTAGACACTTATAGTTAGATGACGTGAAAATGCAGATGTCATATTACAAAGCCTGGTTCAAAAACTATACTGCAAATAAAATGCCTAAAACTTATAATAAAATTCCATGTTTACATAAAAATATGGATTATAAAAAATTAGCCAAACTGACCCAAATTTTGAATAAAAATAATTATACTAAAAAAAGACCAATTTTGCAACTGCATATGAATTTCATAAATGAAAATGGCCTCTCCTATACAGAGAATGACACATTTAAGTTGCATTTCTTTAACAGTCAAAAAGATCAACAGCTATCTAACTTTATTTAGGGAGAAATACAATAGGTTCATTCATCCTCCATTCCTTTTAGATCAAGGCTGGGCAAAGGGGCCTCCATGGGCTGGATCCGGCCTGCCAAGTGGGCAGATTTGACCCACGGATGCCCTGCCACTGCCCCGCCCCCAGGTCTTGATTGGCCTGGGGGCAGGAGGAGCATACAAAGTCTCTTGCTCCCTACCCCGGTCCTGCATGTGCTCCTTGCAGGGTGGGGGCAGGGGCAGCTTTGTGTGCTCTTCCCACCCCCAGGCCTTGATTGGCCTGGGGGCGGGGGCAGTTCATGAGGTCTCCTCCTGCCCTGAAAGGGGGCGGGTGCCTAGAGGGAACTGCCAGCTGTTCTGAACAGCTGGCAGTTCTCTCTAGGCAGGGGGAGGGCAGTGGCAAAGACTTCACATGCTACCCCACCCCCAGGCCAATCTGTCTTGGCCCCGCCCCTTTCAGGGCCCAGGGTCACTTCAAAAATTAGTGAGGTGGCCTCCTGTCAAGTTATTGCCCACCCCCATTTTAGACACATGCTTTATGCACGAGTAATCCTATTGAACACAACCAATCAACTCATGTGCATAAAGTTATGCACATGAGCAAGCAATTGAGGCATCAGGGCCAGAGTCTATCCCTACAATAAAAAAAAAAAAGAGAAAAATTGAATGCACTCTAAGGCATGTCACTGCTACATACATCTTCACATAACTAGGATGTAATAATAAAGAGAAAAAATATATAAAAACATTAAGGCTACACAGCCACTAAGAATTCTCTATTTTTAAAAAGAACTATAACTTCTATCCCACTGTTAGAAAAAAAACACAGTTAAACCATACTGTTGACAGAGTATTTTCAAGTTTGAAAATAAGTGCAAGAAAAACTCTCATGTATTCAGAATAATTCTTTGTCGCAGAGGGTAGCATTTTAACTGTGGTGAATCTGTGGTTCTCTTTCTTTTCAGGATTATATTAGAAGTTTTATTGGAAGAGGTTTCTGCTGGTTTGACTTTCATTTGTGTTCTAAAGCTTTGGATTTTATTTTCTTCCTTGGCCTTACAGCCAGCAAAGACTTCCTGGCGAAGCTTGCATAGTTCCAAGTTGGGCTGCAAAGTTAACGTTTGGGAAAATCCATCTGCTCTTTCTATCAATGCTGGTAGGGACTACAAAATAAAAGAAAAACCCAAAAACAAATCTCCAATCTCAAGTCACATAATTAAACTAGTATTATTTATTTAATTATGGGTAGAAACAACATGTTAACTGGAATTTGACATCCATAAAAACCTCACCTAATAAAATTGTAATACCAAAAAGATTGTAAGTGACCAACATTGACCAATAATAGCAAGAGTCTTCATTAGCAGCTCATGTAAGAGCATTTCAGTGCAAGTTTTAAGACTAAACAGAAGAATATATGAACAGTTTATCAAGAATAAGTAAATATTACATCTCATTTCAAATTTCTTACCAAAAAGGATAAGCCATTTATTATATAGAGGTAGTACCATTTTTCTAAAATGAGGGTTTAATTTTCCAAACACTGCAGGTACACAAATCTTGAAATCTTTATAGCACTGTGAAAATTACAAAAATACTTCTACAGCTCTTTCACGGAGTCTTAAAGGAAACTTAGTCCAAAGCAAGCATTTGACTCCAAGTATGTCTGATAAAACAGAGTCTCAGTAATTTTACAAATACAGATGGCAAATTTCTGTATAAAAATATTTTGGCTAGTTAAAATTTCTACTCTTCTCAGTTTTAGACCCTTAATGGAAAACATGTTAAATGTTATGTGACAAAAAAACCCACAATGAAAGATTTCCTCCCAATAGGAAAAAAAGAGGTCTTACCTTCATTGCATCACTAATCTGCTTGGATGTGACTCCTGTTACCTGCTTCAGATTTGCCATGTGAGACGCTGTGAAGAAACACTAACATCAAAAATGCTGTATTTCCCCAGAATTACGAAGGGACAAAAAACCCTATTAAAAAGAGATGGCCAGGGAAACTATAAAGATATTTAAAAAATTATTAGATATCTGCTTTGTTGCTTTCTAAAACAATTTATGATTCAGTATTTTATATAATAGGAAACTAAAAGAATAAACTGCTTCATACATTTAGTGATCCCATTAATAATAGTTTGATAGATCATACATTAGCTGGGGGGGGAGAGGAGGGGGAGGGAGACATCTCAGGTTTCTCCATGGTTCCCATCACTTAAAGACTGGGGCAATATATCAAGCCAGAACTGCCTAATGTCATGTTGTACTACCTATTTTTCTCATTTAGTGTTTATAGAAGAATACAGTATCCACATTCAAAGGGTTGCCACAAGCCAGTCACAGCTTTACTTGCTTTGTAAAAATATACAATTGTTCACAAGTAATCTCCCCACTGACATCAATCCCACAAGTAGTTATTTATATACATTTGCAGATGTTGTAAATTGAACTAACTGAAGATTGTAGGATCGTCGAACATGAGCATACAAAAAGAGAAATATTTTGTTTACTATTCTTCATACTCATTACTTTTATCTGTTCACTTTTTATGCTACTTCATGAGAAATAACCAAAACACACCATGTTGTGAGATAGAAATGTAGCCGTGTTAGTCTGGTGTAGCTGAAACAAAATACAGGACTCTGTAGCACTTTAAAGACTAACAAGATGGTTTATTAGATGATGAGCTTTCATGGGCCAGACCCACTTCCTCAGATCCGATAGTGGAAGAAAATTGTCTCAACCATATATACCAAAGGAACATGTGTGTTCATTTTTTTAATTGTATCCTTTGGTATATATGGTTGTGACAATTTTCTTCCACTATTGGATCTGAGGAAGGGATCTGGCCCACGAAAGCTCATCACCTAATAAACCATCTTGTTAGTCTTTAAAGTGCTACATTGTCCTGTTTTTTGTTTCATGTTCTGAGAGTCTCCTTGAAAGAAGACTCCTAAACATTTTGAGAGTCCTGACAGGGCTAAAGTAATGGTACATATCTTAGGAATTGTTGATAGATATAAGTAAGTAAATGTGTTCCATATAGTCACAAAGGAACACAAGAGGAACTATTAATTGGTTCTTATTCACCAATACAGATAGTCATCTGTTCACTATATATGCAGCGCATTACTGATTAGCAACTTGTATAAAGTTTGACCTACTACATGAGGAACCTGGCTGGCCCAGCACTCTCTGGTCTGACAACATCCATGGTCCAACATGATTTTAGTTAGCCAGATGTTCACTTATCAGTGTGGCCAAGTTTTCTGCTAGGTTTGCAAATGGGTAACAAGCAGGAACTGGATTGGCCCCCCCACAGGTATGGGGCTATTTCAGCCCTGCAGGCAGGGCTTCAGCCCAGGTGGAGCAGCCCCCAGCCACGGCAGGAAGGGCTGCTCCAGCCCACCTGCCCCCTGTTAATTGGTGGCATCCTTATTTCCTGTGGTCCCTTAAAGTTTGTTACAGCCACCTGGCTTTGAGTATTGTGTGCTGTTAGATAACTCTAATTCACCCCAAATGTCTTTTAAGAACCCACTAAGCAGGGGAAGTGTTGGTAATGCTGCTAGACAATATGGACCTTCCGTGGTTTGGCAAATTCTCTGCTTTGGCAGTGGTCAGGTCCCAAAGATACCGGACGACAGATGTTCACCCTATAACTGAAAATATATTATAGCCTTACATAAATATCTTTAAACTCACATATCACATGGACCTTACTCTTTAAAAACCTAGATGTAGACAGTGATTTACTGATTTCCACGCCTAAAACTATGATTCTCTGTGTCAATATGTTACCATTATTACTTCTAGTAATTTTTGTTGCCTAGCAGCTTCATCAAGGTTCAGACAGGAAAAACAAAATACAAGGTCCCTGCCCCACAGATACTGCAACACAGGAAACAATGACGAACACAGGAAACAATGACAACACGAGGAGGGGAAGACAGACAACTACAATAAAACAAACCTCAGGAAATATTTATGAAGCTTAAAAGATTGTGTTATAGTAGAGCAGAAGACAAACATTTGAAAAGGTGAGCCGTGGACAGTTAGACAAGTAGTAGATTTAAGGGAAGGTTTTGTTATAAAACTGGAATTGTTGCCCTCAGCATTCAGAGTTACAATTAACCTTTTCCCCTTAGCAAAACTTGAGTGATAAGTGTTACTCCAGAAAAATTAAGAACTTAATAAAAACAGAATGGGAACTTGTTCTGCTAGATCACATTAGAAGGAAGAGAGAAGTTTGGAAGAAGTGAAGTAGGACAGCAGATGCAGAATGCAGGGAACACTGCCATGTTACCGTACTGTGGCACTAAGAGGATGAGTGTCTTTATGCAAAGTTGGTTCTTGTGATCACTGAGTGGGGGAGGGGGGGGGAATGGGGGAGAATAAATGATGCATTTGGAAAGATTTGCAAGCTAAAAGAATAGACCTCTCCCTCAAACAGTCTACCAAAAAGCAATCCTGCACTCTTGATGCTATAGCAGGGAAATGAGCACTTTGGGCCGGGAATATTATTAGCAGAGAGCTAACGTGATTTCATAGCTAAGTGTCGGGCTGCATAATTCAGGAATGGCAAAGGAGAGTAAAAAAAAAAAGCAGAATGATTCAGATTGAGAGAAAAAAAAACATTTGCACAGCAACCCCTCTAAATAAACAAAGAGCAGTGGATGGTATGTGTGTGATAGGAAGTTTTAATGACAGGCTAAAGAGTGATTGAAGGCTGAGTAAAGTATAGACTCCTCCCCCAAATAGTGAAGAAGACAAAAGAAGTTGAGACCCCCTCTAGGTAGCCAGGAACAGTGACATGTTAAATGCATTCAATGTTAAATTTGTTAAAGTTTAGGTTTACATAGAGAACATTATATTTCTCATTGTTCTAGGCTTTCCAAAACATAGGGAAATGAAAAAAGGAAATGAAAGGTATTGAGTAATCTAAACATTTTTGGTTTCTGGCCACTGAACTTACTAAAGTAGGATGCATTAACTTCCCAGAGACTATGCAAATACTAAAATTCAGCACAAACCGTGTACTCTTGTTACTAATGTGTGGTTGTTTTGTTTAAAAAGGTTAACAACAAAATAAAGACTATTTTTCAAAGTTAATTCCTGCTTACACCAGCAGCTCTGGACACTAATCGCACCACTGGAAAATACTCAACTGCCAAGTGAAGTTCTTCACAGCTTCTGCTGGCACTTTGGCAAGGTGACATTTCTAGGAGCAGTCTACTTTGTTATAAAAAGGAAACACTCTAAAGTTAAGTCAAATTAGCAGTTTTAGAACTGGAAGTTTCTAACAAAACTTCACCTCTGTTCTAATTAATGTTTCTATTTGTTTACATTTTTTTTTACATTATGCCAACAAAGCACACTGAGGACCTTAAAATCACAGGGTATGATTTACTGCATTCAAAATGCTAGAAACAAACCAATGCTCTTTTAAAATAGGGGAGTGAAGATAATCAAGCTTGTAAAGACAAGCCTTGAAAGATCATAGAATCATAGAACACTAGAACTGGAAGGGATGTCAAGAGGTTATCAAGTCCAGCCCCTTGCCCTCACGACAGGATCCAGTACCATCTAGAACCCTCCCAGATAGATGGCTATCTAGCCTGCTCTTAAATATCTCCAGAGATGGAGATTCCACAACCTCCCTTCGCAACTTATTCCAGTGTTTAACCACTCTGTCAGTTAGGAAGTTTTTCCTAACATCCAACCTAAACCTCCTTTGCTGTAATTTAAGCCCACTGCTTCTTGCCTTATCAGAGGCCAAGGAGAACAATTTTTCTCCTTCCTCCTTGTAACTCTCTTTTAGATACCTGAAGACTGCTGTCATGTCCCCTCTCATGTCTTCTCCTTTCCAAACTAAACAGCCCAATTCTTTCAGTCTCCTCTCATAGGTCATGTTCTCTAGTCCTTCAATCATTCTTGTTGCTCTTCTTTGGGCCTTCTCCTATTTCTCCACATCTTTCTTGAAATGTGGTGCCCAGAACTGGCACAGTACTCCAGCTGAGGCAGGGTAGAGTAGAGCAGAAGAATTACTTCTTTTGTCTCGCTCACAACACTCCTGTTAATGCATCCAAGAATCATGTTTGCTTTTTTTGCAACAGCATCACACTGTTGGCTCATATTTAGCTGGTGGTCCACCATGACCCCTAGATCCCTTTCTGCGTCAGGACTCCTTCCTAGACGGTCATTTCCCATTCTGTATGTGTGAAACCGAATGTTCCTTCCTAAGTGGAGTACTTTGCATTTGTCCTTATTAAACTTCTTCCTGTTTACCGCAAATCGTTTCTCCAGTTTGTCCAGATCATTTAGAATTATGACCCTATCCTCCAAAGCAGTTGCAACCCCTCCCCACTTCGTATCATCTGCAAACTTAATAAGCGTACTCTATGCCAATATTTAAAAATTAATGAAGATATTGAACAGAACTGGTCCGAAAACAGACCCCTGCAGAATCCCAATTGTTATGCCCTTCCAGCAGGATTGTGAACTGTTAACCTTTTTCAGGGTAGTTATCCAGCCAGTCATGCACCCACCTTATATTAGCCCCATCTAAGTTGTATTTGCCTAATTTATTGCTAAGATGATCATGTGAGACTGTATCAAATGCCTTACTGAAGTCTAGGTAAACCACATCCACCGCTTTTCCCTTATCTAGAAGACTTGTTTTCCTATCAAAGAAAGCTACAGATTGGTTTGATATGATTTGTTCTTACAAATCCACGTTGGCTGTTTCCTATCACCTTATTATCTTCCAGGTATTTGCAGGTGAATTCCTTAATTACTTGCTCCATTATCTTTGCTTGCAAAGAAGTTAAACGGACAGGTCTGTAGTTTCCTGGGTTGTTCTTATTTCCCTTTTTATAGATAGGCACTATATTTGCCCTTTTCCAGTCTTCTGGAATCTCTCCCATCTCCCATGATTTTTCAAAGATGATAGCTAAAAGCTCAGATACCTCGTCTATCAGCTCCTTGAGTATTCTAGGATGCATTTAATCAGGTATCCTACTCATGGCCTTATTTGTTCTTAACTGTAAATTCCTTAGGGCAGGGACAGTGTTCTGTTTACAGAGTACCCAATAAACCTATGACATTGATTAAATCAGTATTTCTTGAATGTGACCACCACGGCTTTTCTTGTGGCTGCAGCCCTATGGGCAGTGATGGGAAAGCAGAGACCTGTCCACTGGGACCTCCAGCTGTGATCGGGCTCTGCTCCTCACCCCCAGAGACACAGAATTTGGAGGTGCAGGCACCCAGTGAGTTCCCTACTTCAGGCCTCAGGTGATGGGTGACAGGCTCAAGTCTTGGGACTTTGGAGTTAACTCCCTGGTTGAATAGTGGCAGATCTGGCCTTGAGTTCATCACCCGCAGAGCTCCTTCATCCCTGATTCCCACTGACTCCATGCCCACCTCCCCACTCCGGGCTTGCTAGGGCTGAGTAAGTCTGTTGTGGAAAGAGATATTTGTATGTTTGTTAATATCACTTTTCACAGACAATGTCTAGCAAGTATTAAAAAAAACAGGCAAAGAAAGCAGAAGAAATGACAAGGGGGGGGAGGGGGAGGACAAGAATGTGCAAAGCACCTTACTGGACTTAAACACAGCACAAAGAAAAGCAACAACCGTACATTATTTTTTACTGAGTCTTTAAAAAAATCCTACATAAATTACAATGATTTGGGCATGTATATGTGTATATTGCTTTGTTTTTCCTAATGTGAATTAAGTATTTAAGAAGAAAAACAAACCTGTCAGAGTGGCCACCAGCAAGAGTTGGTGGCTGCACTGTAGTTGTGATCTCATTAGCATATTTTCTGCCGTTTCTTTTCGCGCAAAAAGAAGCAGTGCGGATAGGGTTTTTTCCCTGCAAAAACCTAGTTTGTGCAAGATTCTTATGCCTGCCCCGGACAGGCATAAGGATCTTGCACAAAGTGGGTTTTTGCGCCAAAAAAAATAATGTCCACACTGCTTCTCTTTGCGCAAAAAGAAACGGCAGAAAATATGCTAATGAGATCTCAACTTACGTTAATGAGTCCCTCATAAGCATATTTTCTGCCAGAAGAACTGACAGTGTGGACAAAGGTTGTGAGGCCACAAAAAAATTTGTTGAGAACACCTCTGGATTTAAAAGTTAATTTCTGCATTAACAATTACAATTTATATCATAAGTGTCTCATTGATGTTGAGCTTCAAAAGAGAGCGTGCAGTGTTTATTATAATTTTTAAGAAAATCAACTCAGTGCCACTCAGCAATGAATGATAAAAGCATGTCCAAATGTGTACTTTATGCATCTTTACCTGTCAGACAGTTCTTAGCTATTGCTTTCCTAACAAGTGATATTCTCATAAGATATAAATAGGAACACAGGAAATGCCACAAATGGATGAAGCCAGTGATCTATCAAGTGTGGTATCTTTTCTACAATAGTGGGAAGAGAAGGATACTAGAAACTTGGCCACAGACAATTATGACAGGGCTACTCAATATGTGGCCCGTGGGTGGGAGACAAAACAAAAAAGGAGTCAATATGATGGTCTTCTGTTGATGTGCGTTTTAGTAGTTAAATTCCTGGACTGTCATTGCTCATTTAAAGTGCTGCCATATGGGTGACAATCAGGTAAATATTGCCTTTTATTAATATCAGCAGAACTGACTTAAATGGGGCCTGCACGTTGTGTAGTCTTGCCTTAATCTTTGTATTCATGCCCATCAGTGTGAAAGTAGCTATTTACACACACACACACACACACACACACACACACGCACGCACACACACACACACTTGCACGTATATGCAACTACACTTAAGACGTGTCCCTCGGCAGGTGCTGTGAGTTTCCTTGTGGCCCCTGGAGCTTCCAAAGTTGAGTAGCCCTGAGTTATGGGATAACCCAACCCACAAAGTATTTGCCAAATGCCCACCATTTGTTAGGGGCTGATTTTTGCCCTGAAGCACAACACAAAATAGCATTAAGGCTCAGAACAAGAGAACTAGAGTTGTGCTAATCAATCAATGCAGCAGTATGCTCAGCTACCAGAAGCATCTATGTCTGCAATTACATCCAGAACAGAAATGAATTTAAAATAACCCAAGTTTTCACTTGTACAACTATGCCATAAGAATGAACAGGTTAAAAATATTCAGTCTGAAAGTCACACATAAGAGAGCCATTTATTAGTGTTTCTTTAAAAAACTGCAGTCAGTAATTTACCTAGCTAGCTTACCTTATACATTTGCACTGTCATGACAAACACTTACCTTGAAAAGGTTCAGGTTTTATTTCTTGTGGCTTTATAACAGGCTGGTAGAGCTTCTGCATATACAAAAATAAATTCAAAATATTTTTCACTCAAATATTTTCTAAAGTAGAATCTTAATCTTTTTTATACAGTACCTAGCATAATCAGTTATGATTATAATAAAAAAGGGTTAGCGGGATTGGTGCTTTGCATCTAATACAGAAAACAGTTATTTAAATACACAATGCCTCTATATTAAGCTTCATTTTTCCAAACCCTAATCTTGGTTATTACTGCAAGGTTTCTAGCTGAAGCAGAGACATTTTGGGAGAAGCACTGCCATCTGCTTCATGATTTATGACACAGAATTGCAGAGGAACTCTTGGGGATTCATTCATGGATACTAGACAAACTTGAAACAGAGGGACCATTTATATAAAAAGCTATTAATATGGCCCATTGGTATCAGTTTCTGCTGTTCTATTTTTGCAGATATTTGTTTATGAATAAGAACTTTCTCCTGCACAACCCAGGTTCTCCCGCTGTTTGATCCTGCTATGAATCTTGTGATCGGAGATCAAGTAGTTGTAGCAAATTTGAATGAACAGTACAGATTCAGCATTATGATATCACTTCAGGTGGAATGAGGAGTAAAGATAGCCTAGGAGAGGACAAACTTATTTCAATACCAACATCTTCAACAGTTAGAAAATATTTTTAGCTTTTAAATCAAAAGGGAAAGGTGAATAACATTTATATTCAAGTCTGACCAGGCCAGCTCTAGGTTTTTTGCTGCCCCAAGCAAAAACATTTTTGGCCCCTCCCTTTTGTCTGGGGAGGTTGCGCACGCAAATGCAGTTTGTGCAGCTTGCTGGGGGTGCGCGCGCAAATGCAGCTTGTGAAGTTTCCTGGGGGGTGGGAGGTGTGCTCCGGGAGAGTCCAAACCCTGGGGCATTTTCATCTCCTAGGAGAGCGCCAGGGACTCCCCATGAGAGGACAATGGGAGGGTAGGTTCATCCATAGCAAGTCAGTTAAGACTTCCAAAGCATGCAGTTCACATCACCTAGTGCTGGAGTCCTGGTCCCACTCCTCACTTTGCAAAGGGATTTTATTATTACAAGCTTTATAATCAGATTCCAACCCCAACACATAAGCTTTCCAACTCTTGGTGTCCATGGATAAGAATCAGCTTAACTATACAATGAGACAGTTTAAAGGGATTAAGAGAACTTTTGTTTCGACTCCCCAGCTCAACTGTCCAGAACAAGACAGGCACCAGACAACAAAACCCCACTAGCCTAGGACCTATTCCATGAGCGCAGCTCTGTGCTTTCTCCTTCAGGGATGGACCAAACAGCTTTGATTTAAATCTTTAATTTTAATCACGATTTAAACCGGCAAGCAGAAAACCTTGGTTTAAATGAGCAATTAATCATTTAATTTATACTTTTAAAATATTTTCCTAAAGGATGGTTGAGTCTTATTAATTAGCAACCTTTAAAACATGTTGATTTACAACTAAATATAACCTTTTTGCCAAATTTGGTACTTTTATTTACTAACCAGGAGAATACACCCAGTATAGCTACCGACTAAATAAATGCCCAAATAATTGTGTAATTTACATGTAATCAGATTTTTAATTTTTACATTTTTAGTCTATTTCAAATGGAGTATAATAGGAACATTTAGGAGATATTATTTGCTAAGTGGTGGCTACTTTTTTTAAAACATAGGATTTGCACCTACTTCTGTCTGGATGGAAATTCAATTTAAAATAAACAAAACCAGCATTTAATTTTTGTATGAAAAAAAAGTACATTAAATGTGAAGGACACAACAAAAAAGTATCCAAACACATTTTGCATCTAAAATTCATTTATTAAACAAAGGAAATATCCTTAGAGAATTTAACAGATTTAATCTAGTCATCATGTTCTTTAAGACGTTAGAACGCTCTCATAACCAATTTTTTACTGAGAGAAAAGGAAAACAAGTTTTTCTGCTTCGTCAACTCTCGGTTTTGCAACAGTGAATGAACTAATAATTGAATTGAACCAGCTGAATAAACCGAAGTGATAAAAACATTCTCTCTTCACCTGCAGAAGAAGCTACTGATGATGTAAACACTGGTTCTTGGTGCTACACAGCAACTTACACTAAAGAACTGGTAGAATTTCTTTAAAAGTTGACAGGAGACATGTTTAGGTTATGATAAATTTAGGCCATAACAATTTTTAATTTTATTTTAAAGGTATATTATTTAAAACAAAGTCTATTTAAATGGGATCACAATTACAATTTTAATAAAGCTCTCCAGCCCCAGACAGGAAGGGACTTGGGGACTCTGGCACTGGGAACACCAGAGTTCTCCTTGCTGAGCCAAAGGGAGAGGGAGAATCACCTGGTTCCCAGGCAGGGGTGAGGTGGTCAGGACACAGCACAAGGGGGCTGGGTTCACGGTGGGGCAGGGAGAGAAGGGTTCAGAGCCCCGAGAGTGGGGTGGTGGTCGGGGAATGTATAGAGGGCCAGACAGGAGATGGGGATCCAGGTGGGCGGCAGGGAGCGGAGAAGAGGAGACAGGGTCCTAGCAGGGTTGCAGTGGGCCAGGAGGTGGGGTGCAGGGTTGCTGGGCAGAGGCCAAGCCGGGGGAGGAGAAGAGAGGGAGGAGGGTTGCATGACAGTGGGCAGCAGGACACAGGCGGGGGGGAGGGGGTGACAGCTGGACAAGGGGGGGGTTCACAGGCAGGGAA